GCCCAGTGTGCCCAGTGTGCCCAGTGTGCCCAGTGTGCCCAGGCCTGACCCCAGGCGCCGCTCCGCCCGGTGGCTTTTCCACTCACCGCTTCCCAGAAGGGCCAGCCCCGGGGCCCCGCACCAGACCCCGCAGGCCCCTTCCACACACCCCCCCTGGCCGCTGCCTTGGGGAGCACAACCCCTCCTCCTCGCTCCCCTCCAAACTGAGTGTCCAGCCGGGGCCACTGAGAGCCAGGTTGCCTCCTGGCGCCAGGCCCTGCCCGAGGTCACATGGGGTCATTACAGAGCCTCCGATGCCCACCCCAGGCTCTGTCCACACCACAGGCTGCTGGGCAGGAAGGCCCACACCCACCTGGACACCGCCGCCAGTGTCCTCAGAGCCTCTGCGGGGCAGACCTCCCACCACAGGAGCCAGGCCTCAACCCCGCCTGCCCCGAGCCCCGTCCAGCCTCCAGGACAGCCCCTGCAGGACCTACCGGACCCCAGCAGACCCTTGGGCCTTGGCAGTGAGGCAGGGGCGCTGGAAACCTCCCGCAGAGCATCCACCCCTGCTCTTGGCTCTGGACAAGCCCCCTGAGCCTGGGTGGCATGGGGGGAGCGTCCAGCTGCCATGTGATGACCCTCAGACCGCGCAGCCTGGCCACGGGCATCACACAGAGGGATCCTGTCAGCCCAGGCCCTTCTGGGGCAGAAAAGCCCTCTGGGCCTCTCTCCTGCCCCTTTGTGCCTCCCCCAGACTCCAGGCACCCCCAGTGACCCGACTAGCTACTTCCCGGCCCTCACACACCTGCTGGCCACTGGCCTGGCCCACGTCCAGGTGGGTGCATTATGAACCCACTTCTTATAAAAGAAAACTGAGGCCCCGCCTGGTTTTCCCACGGGCTAGGGGCTGGGAGGAGGGGAGGCGGAGCCAGTCTCCGGTCGGGCTGGAACCTGTTGCCCGGGGCAGGCGTGGGTTGGGGAGTTTAGGAAGGTGAGGGTGAGGACTGCCCGCGGGGAACACCCCGCCCCCTCCGTGCGCCCCACTCCCTCGGGGAAAGGACCCCGCCAAATATAGCCCGGGCGCCGGTGCCGCCGGGCCGCGCTATTTATACCCGGACTCGGCCGGGCCTCGGGGCGCAGCCATCTCCCGGCCGGAGCCCAGTCCCCGAGGGCCCCCGACGGAGGGGCGCCCGGTCCGAG